ATACCATCGTCAAAGAAACTTCCCGCCAGTTTCGATAACCACGACTCCACAGCATTTTTCGTGTCATCGTCAGATCCAAAGCGCTTGCCACCAAGCTCGCGCTTCATGTGCAGGAACAAGTGATAGTCGGACGGCGCCAAGTCCGGGCTGTACGGCGGGTGATCGAACTGCTCCCAATGAAACTGTCGAATTAACGATTGAGTGACACCAGCAGTATGGGGCCGAGCATTGTCATGGAGCAACACAATTCCTTTACTGAGCATTCCTCTTCGTTTGTTTTGAATGGCACGCCTTAGTTTTGTTAAAGTCTCACAATATCGTGCCGCATTAATGGTTTCACCTCTGGGAAGAAATTCAGTAAGCAAAACGCCTTTCCTATCCCAGAAGACAGTGCACATGATTTTTTGTGATGACATTGTCACTTTGAACTTTTGTTTTTTCGGAGAATGAGTGTGTCTCCACTCCATCGATTGTTGTTTCGATTCTGGTGTGAAATGACACACCCAAGTTTCATCACCTGTCACAATTTGGTTTAAAAAGTTTTCTCTCCCTCATCACTGTACGTGAGAAATGTCAGGGCACTACCAAGTCGCTTTGTTTTGTGAAATCAGTGAGCATTTTTGGAACCCATCGGGAACACAGTTTGCGATAATTCAAGCGGTCAGACACAATTTCGAACAAAACAGTACGTGAAATTTGTGGAAATGCCTCTGAAAGAGTTGTCATTGTGAAGCGTCTGTTCTCATGAATTGCTTCATCAACTTTCCTTACCAAATCATCGGTGACAACAGAAGGCCGACCACTCCGAGCCTCGGCGTGGACATTTGTTCGACCTGCATTAAACATTCTTACCCACTTTCTCACCATTCCATCACTTATCGCGTATTCACCGTAAACTTCTGTCACTTGACGATAAATTTCGGCCGGTTTAACATTCCTCGCGTTCAAAAATTTAATCACGGCACGAATCTCGCAGTCAGCGGAAGAACTAATTGTCTTAAACATTTTGAATGTGCACAGCAAACTGAAAACACAACATAGAGCAACCAAAATGGCGACAATTGAAAGTCAGTGAACAAGAAAGACTAGTGTGCATGCGCGGGACACCTACCACAGCGCTGCAACGGCGCTAGAATGAAACGGTACTTAGTTTATGAATACGCTACGTAGATTTTGGATGCTGTTAAGGAGTTCTGTGTGTTTCACATATGGAAGAAACAGAAATTTTTAAATAAGGTAAGTCGATATTTCCTTTATGTGTTGTGTAGATAACATAACATGTATTTCAATTGTTATTCTTTGTTTGATTTGCAGTTTATTGAGATTATATATTTTTGTTTTAATTTGTTTTGGACGTCATTTTACTGGGGAGGGCAATGGACATAAACAGGAATGGCACCAAAAATTCACCAATTTTCACCAGGGGTTTCCCTGAAATATATTTTTACCTAAATGTAAATGTACCTTAATTCAAAGATTTGAAGGTACAGATTTAATTAACCTCTCTTTTTTTAGGGGGGGGTACTTATCAAAAGATAAATATTCTCAGTTACAAATTTTCTAATAAACTCTTTGAGAATGCATTTGTATGTGAACAGTTTTTCCCATAGCTTCTAAGGAACCGGACTGACTGATGAACATCTGTAATTTGTACAAGTAATTTTTCTCCAACATTACAAACTATCAAAATCCCATGGGGTGTTATAGCTGAAAGTTGTGATTAGAAATAAAGGTTATAATTATTTACATACATATGTGTTTCTTCTTTATGCATCAATATTAGAAAATTTGATACTTTTCCGCTTCCCCGGCGCAAATCTCGCCAAGCAGACTTTATTGTGGCGACAACATACCGTATACAAGTATGCACATAAAAAATGTTAACAAATGTTAGTTCTAAGAATTTTTTATTTTGAAGGCATAAACATTTTAATAGCGTTTAAAATTTTGTAAAAAGCCAATAAATTTGTAAAACAATTTTAATTTAGGAATTTGCTATGCTTTCATAGTTCAACACCCTAATTCGCCGGTTCATATCACATGACCCAAGTGATCTCATCTCACATAAACTATGCTACAAAAATCTAATTTTTCTCAGTAATTACATTAATTTCAAGTTAAACCTTAATTTGGAATACAAATTTAAATACAGGAATTATTTCAATTCATATGACTAGCTTACTCAGAAATTATGTTAAACCGCAGTGCTTTACTTCGCTAGTGCATTCTCATTAGAATTCAAGAATTTAGCCCTTGACTTTGCCTTTTCTATATTTTTGCCTTTGGTGTGACTACATCCTAATTGACTTAATTATCGCGAATGGTCTTAGGGTATGAAATTGAACTATCTGGTAAAAATTCTGTTTTATTGATAGAAACAATCAGTCTGATAAGTCTTCATCATCATCAACTTGTTTTGAATCAGTCATCAACTTGTTTTGAAGATCAGGCGTAAAAGCTTACCAGCGAAGATATTCCGTTTGGCATCAGTTGTACCCTTATTGGCGATTTTATCACCTGCGCCGGCAAAACAGAAAAGTACCGAAAATTTTAATAAATAAAAGAAAGATAATAGGTTGTTGGTATTTATATGTTTTTAATATTTTTGAGTGCCCCAATACAAGTATCTGAAAAGTCTTATTTTCAAGAAAAGTGTTTCATTCATTCAGTAAATACTTGTGAAGACATATTTACATGTATGTATATTTACTTAAAATATATATTTACTTAAAAATTACTTTCATATGTAACCCTTCTGTAGAAAATCAAGCCTTTTGAAAATTTTATAGTAATTAATATATTTTAAATTTTTTAAAAATTCTGATCTTTTCAGGTTAAGCCTCAAAAGGAAAAGTATGCTGTAATGATATATATCCATGGTGGTGAATGGGATCATGGCAGTGCTAATATATTTCCTGCTCACATGTTAGCTGCTTCTCAAGAAGTGGTGGTTGTAACTTTCAATTATCGTCTTGGAGCACTTGGTGAGCATGAATGAAAAGTACATTTTTTGTGATGCATTTCTGAAGTTTTGCTGGATCATTAAATTATTAAAGTACAATAGTTCCTCTCCATATCCTCAAATAATTTATTCCAGGACATACTGCGGATGCATGAGATGGTATCCGGAGAAAACATCACAAGGATATCGTTGTCAAAAATAAAGCAGTTAAAAAAGTTCCCAATTTAAAAACATCGTTGTCAAAAATATTGTGGTAAAAATTAAAGTACCTACAAATCATCGCATGCCAGTAACATTGCAGACACGTGTTTTTCAGGCTTTAATAATTGTAAAAGGATACTCACATAATGATTTGTGAACGCGAGATAGAAACAAGGATCTTTTACTTCCATATTTTTTATTAACTAATAAATATTTGTTGAAAATGTAAAATAGAAACTTAAGCATAGAAAATTAATTCAACTTGTAGCACTTAATAGAATTTTAAACTGGCATAGTTAATCAAAAAAGATAATAAATTATTTTTTATATAGTTTTACTGGTAACTTTTCATGAAAAGTATACTCTAAAAAAGAATAAAAAAAGGAAGATAAGTAACTGCATGACTTTGTCTATAAGAAGATTGGGAATTATGAGACTATTTTCTTCACTTTTGTTAATCTGATACTCTTATAGTGAAAATTATTTCTTGTCTTGTTTAAATTTCTTGTTCTATTTTTTAAAATTTATTAGTTAATAAAAAATATGAAAGTAAAAAATTTCCTTCTTCCCATCTTGCGCTCACAATCATTACAAATATCCTTTATAATTATTAAAGCCTGAAAAAGCATGTCTGTGATGTTATCATCATCCGATGATTTGTAGGTACTTTATTTTTTACCACGATGTTTTTAAACTGCGAAGTTTTTTAACCGCTTTATTTTCGATGATGATATTTTGTATCATGATGTTTTAGAACTGCAATGTTTTTGCTTTATTTTCTCCCACGATGTTTTGTTCCATGACGTTTTATCCGCGATGTTTTCGGCTGTAACCCGTGAGATGGCTGTGATAGTGAACATTATGTGCAGGATATTCATACATTGAACATAAATTCTGTGAAACTTAGTTATTGAATTTGGTGAGCAAAAGTTCATTTTCAGAATTCTTTGTTTAATACATTGCTTTGATATATTAAATCAAGGATTCTGAAAATCTTAGCGGATTAAAAAAGAGAAGTCAGAAATTAAGATGTATAATTCCTGTACTAATAAACTGTTTTGAGGATGGTAGGAATAAAAATCCTTTTACAAGAAAGCAGTAATACATACAGTGGCTCCCAAAAATGTTTGTCAATTTTCTATTTCAATGAAAATCCTAAGTGTTTGAACACTTTTGGGATCCACTGTATATGTAATGAAGAAAAATATAATGATGATGTAGAAATATTGATGCCATAGAATGTTGATCCATAATGAAGGGCAATTTGGCTGGCGAGGCCAATTAAATATATAGCTTTATTTCAGTAAGCATGTTGTGGTCATAAAGAACTCGGCTCTCTAATTCGTGCCTATTTCAAAACATTTATATTTTGAATAGCTTGGCAGTAAAAAGAGATGCAGAAAGCAGCAGTTATCCAGGCGGTAGTGCAGAGAGCAAGTGACTTGTGTTCAGGATGAAATATTAATGCAGAATGTGTTTTTTGGTGTTCAGTGCATTTGATTGGATAATTAATAATGCTGTAAAATTATTAGCTGTTTGAATATTAGCTCCACATACTTCACAAGCATTATGTAAGACTGATATGACGTGGATTAATCTTGAAATGCAGTGCAGAAAAAAGTATTATAATTTTTAGAAAGAGGGGAAATTACCAAATTAAAATTTTGCATTAAGGTGTTATTGCTAATTAAAATTATAATTTAGATTGACACATTTTTTATCCTTCTTACATATTTCCTTCCTTCAAGGAGAAAATGGCTTCACGACGGAGAAGCCTTTTTAACTCTTTAACATACAAATAAAATATGCATCGGAAGAATGCCATTTAATTTGGCTCAACTGCGGACACTCATGTGCAAGCTTAGAAACCGAATGTTTTATATTGAAATTTACATTGCTATATAACACTAATAATATACAGCGCGGCGTTCGCCGAAATCAGTTCTTGACATCTCAGAGACATCAAAGTTTACAATTGCACATGAAATCAATGATGCCTTTGCATGTCATTGTGTGCGAAGAGGTTAAAAAAAACCATTAAAACAGTAGCTAATGAAGAGCAATGTAAAACGTAAAATCTTGACTAACATTATTAATTAAATAATTGTAAAGTATAATTTTTGAATATAAGATATTTAAAATAATTTTTAGAATCATTAAGTTTTTCAGCATTTCAGTCCAAAAGTCTGTTTTAAACTGCGCATAATCATAATTCTTCAGGGAAGGTTTTTGTTCTAACAGAGTATCAGAAATGAAAGCTTTTGCATAACCATTATTTATTCTAACTAATTGCAACTCATATAAAAATTTATTGCCCTAATTTTCATATTGATAAATTATATTTTAACATCATAATTATAGTAGGAATATTATTGCCGAAATTGTGGTATCACCGTTATTATCTTTCATTTGCAATTCCTCATTTTACCGAACTGAAATGCCCCCCAACAGTACTTCTAATTAAAATTTCCATTAGTAGATCATATCGACTTGAGCAAACTGGTGCATTTGTTTCATGGCAGTGGCCAAGGGGGTTATGGCAGTTACTTGAAAAGGCCTCCGTACCTTGCATAAGGTAACTGTTCTTCATGAAGTGCACTAATACATTTCTCAATAAAAAATGATGGTTATATAGCTAAGGAAAGTGCATTTTCTGAGGTGCGATTTGTGACTTAGGAACATATGTGAGCTTGCAAAGTTGACCATTACTATCCTTTGTACATATAGTTACTTCTGTTAGGGAAGTGTACACTAATGCATATTGTCACAATTACTTTGGGAACATAGTTCTTGTTTCAGTGTTTATATTTAACATCTTTTCATAGGCTGTTTGTCACTTGGCCATACATTTTTAAACTTCAAAGGTCTTGCTCATTGAGCACTTTCCTGAGTTGTAAACTGCAGATAACTAATACCACAGGTTGAGAATCAGTGGATAAGGGCCTTTGACTGTAGTAGCATTTTAAAAATTGCTGTATAATTAATTAACTTAAAAGAATAGTATTTTCTGATTATCTGAACCCCACCCCCCCACTGAAAAATCGGGAATTCTCTGGAGAGTATTCGTGAACTTGTTGGCAACTAATTTTTTGCCAAGTTATTTGTGAAAGGCAAGAGCTGTTTTATAAATGGCAATATGCTTAGAGTCCTATGAAAGAGCAGTCAGTTGATAAAATTAAAAAGCAAGAAACATTGGTAACAAAACTCTTATTATTTTTAAGAAATCCTTTTATAATTTTTTTCTGCCCTTGTTCTTTCCATGTACCCCAATGATCTGTTTTTCTAGAAAAAAAAAATCAGGCAATTGTATAAACATGGCATCACATACAACTTTGGCATTGGATGGTGGCCAACTATAAATAAAGTAAATAGCTGTTGTAAATAAGATATGGCTGGCTATCTTCAAAACTAGTTTTCGACCTGCATTCTAACACTTTGCTTTCAATTTTTCATGTTGCATTTCCATAAAATTCGGGCATTTAAGAAGCATTTCATTTCCAGCAAAATGCAATGTTTTCTTTCCTATAATCTCCAAACTTTATTGCCATCATGATTTTTGTGATAAAAAAACAAATATACTCGGGAGGGGGCACACTAATCACAAAAATGACTTCTGAATTTCAAAAGTGCATTTCCATGTATACTTAAATAGATGTGTGCTACCATGCATAGCTGGGTTGCCACGTAATTACTTTTCGGCAATGTCAGATAATACTCATAAGTATTCTGGTGATGTACTGTGATATTTCAAGAATATTTTTTGCAACTTCAGTAATCAGAAATTACTGAATAAACTTGAACTTACTCTTTAAATGGCTATGAAATATGTAGTTTTCATTTTTTCGTAGGGTTTTTTGCTACTGGAGAAAGCTCTGCTGCTGGTAATTATGGTTTATTGGATCAAGCAATGGCAATTCAATGGGTTTATGATAATATTGGCTCATTCAATGGAGATAATGAAAAAATAACTCTATTTGGCACTGGGGTAGGTGCTGCTAGTGCTGGTATTCAGGCTTTATCTAGTAGGTTAGGAAGTAAGTGCCTATACATTTTAATGGTATTAAATAATGATCTTAATTATGCTATACTTTTATTTTTCATGCATCATATATGAATATACAGAAATTATATTATGAAACAATGTTATCTAGTCTCTTTAAAAACTACTACATTTTAAACTTAAAATAGGATTGGGGGGAAAATAGTGAAAAGCAGGAATGGAAAATCATGGAAATGTTTTAGGCTACAGTCATTTCTAATTAACTGAATATTGCACTTGACATGAACAATCAACTCAAAATCATGATTAATTCAAAAGCACTTAAAAAAAAGAAACAAGAATAACCCATATTAACCCGTTCAGGACCAATCTTGCATAAGTGTGACACGACTCCAATCTCACCAGCCCAGCATTGCTTATATGCAAAGAGCTTCAATCAAATGCTTCAGCTCAGCGTCACGTATGCATCGAAGCAGGTCGTTTTGACGCAGGGGCAGTTCACTGCCATATTTTTTTCATATTTTTATTTATTTTTAGAATAAATATGAAGTAATATAAATAAGAAACATGACTGATTTTTATTTATTGAATTAGCGATTGTTTGCATGCATATTTGAAATAAATATGTGTGTATATGTGTGAAAGTTCTAGATTTTTGTTGTGTCCCAGATTAGACCCCCTCGCCAACGTCAAGTCCCCGGACATGAGGGAGGGTTTTTTTATTATTTATTTCATAAAACAGCATCAAAAAGGCAAAATACACAAATGTTAAATAAACACATGGTTACAAAGTAGTTATATTATATCGCAGACAAATATAATTACAGATAAATAAGATTAGAGATAAATAGGGTTACATCACAGAACTGTTATTATACTAATCCATTGCAAAATTATTCTCGCCACACCTTTCAGGTATTCCATTATTTCTCGATTTTCAAAATCTTCAACTATTACTTTAATTCTCATATCAGCTCACGCAGATACCTATTCCTCTTTGGTGCGGCGGTTCATCTCCACGTACAAATTGTTCATAATATTGATCAATTGATTTTTTGAACATGCCTGAGACCATCTATGAATTCCCATAACGTGGGGTATGAAACACCAAATGATGATGACACCAAATTTATTTGAGTGATTATGCAAACTTACTACTAAAAATAAATAAAAATACTAAAAGTATGGCGTCAAACAAAATGAAAAAAAGTATGGCGTCGAACTGACCCCGCATTTGAAACGACCTCGTGTCGAATTGACCACGCTTCAAACCGTTGGCGTCGAACTGACCTGCACCGGTATACCGGTATGCATAACTTGAAACCGAATCTCCTTTTTTTTTTTTTTTTTTTTTTTTTTTTCAACTTTCACATTCCAGTAGATGGTGCTAAATGGAAACAGTTTTCACATTGGTTAAGTCATGTTGCTTTTGACCTTCATGTATAAGCATCAGTTTCTGTTGTGTGCTTCTAGTTTTGATAGATTTATTGGCTTAAACAAACTTCTTTTACATTTTGTATTTGTAATTTTGTTTTTATGTGCGTAGTTCTAATTTTAGTGTTTTGCATGTTTCATTTATTTCTATTAATGTGATAGTCTTTATGTTTTATTCATCACATATTAAGAATTAGTATATTAAGTATGTAACTTCAAAAATTGAAGTCATTATATTAAATTGCTGATTTTATATGAATTTTTTTGTAAAAGTAGGCATAACTGCTGAAAATGCATGGGCCAATGGCAATGCTCTATTTTGGGGGGGGGGTTGGCCTTGTGGCTGTGCTTCATTCTTCGCGTGATGATCCTCATACTGCTAATACTAATAAATACTCTTGATGATTTACTGATATTTTCAAGTAGTTTATTCTGGAGGATGAATTTATTTAGTTAGAAAAATAAGATTAATATTAAAAGTATCAATTTTATTATTCTATTGAAAAAAGAATTAATATTAGAAATTTGAAAACTAACTTTTAAATAACTATGACATCATCTGCTCTCCTTATTGATATTCCATGCATTTTTTGTTTTCCCAGTTGCGTTTTTACAATTTTGGTTTACCCTGCTAGTTTCTGATAGTAATTTTTGTATTATCCAGCAATAAATGATTTTTATTTTCAATAGGCTAAATGGGTTTCAACTATACTAACAGATTTCTAACAAGTATTTTATAAATTCTAAAAAAATATGTAGTTTTTCTTTTTTTCAAAGTAATTTAATTTCTGAATAAATAAATAAAACTTTTGTAGTGAAGAATGAGATACAGCAAATACTTTTTCCTTGTGATGAAAAAGGAAATTTGCTCTGATTGCCAGACTATTATAATTTCAGCAGTTTTAACAGTACATATAAAAAATAACAAGTCATCAAAGTCGAGCATTACAAGTGCAAGTAAAATTGAAAACTGTAACCATAAATATGATTTCATTTATCACTAGAATTTAGATGTTTTTGTGCTTGACTTTACATTTCTTACTTAGCTTTATATTTTTAACAGTTATTATTGCTCTGCAGATCTAAGCTTAAGGATTTACCAGCAGTTTGTTATAGATTCTTTCATCCTTTCTAGAATATCTTAGAGTATACTCTAACATTTACAGATACATGGATGATATAACTGCAATCAACAACTTCAATCAAATAGAATACAATCTCATTTATCCTTCACGTTTGAAACTCAGTACAACTAACTTTCAAAAAGGAGGTATTAATTACCTAGATTTGTAAATTATCAATTTTAAAGATATCAAAATTTACAACAAAAGAAGAGATTTTAATTTCTCTGCCATAAAACTCATCCTTTGGCATTCCAATATCTCTAAAAGAGTAATACTTGATACCATACATACTCAACTCTTTAAAATAATAATAATAAAAAAAATTCAACAATGTTGAATACTTACAAGAAGAAACCAACTTGGTCAAAATTGTCTTAGAGAATAAAACATCTCTATTCAAAATTTATATAACTAAAGAAAGCTTAACTACATTTTTTTAAAATTTCTCATCTGTAGTGATATGATAATTATTACTTAAACCCTAATCGGAGGTAATAGTTGGGTGATTACATTAAGAAATTTGAAGTAAATATTAACAAAGATTTATTTCTCTTCCCTTTCAATTATTTTTACTATCTTTCTACAATTTTGTGAATTTAATAACTTCCTAATCTTCTAGCTTTTATTTAAAAAATGAGCCTCCCATTTTCAAAGACGTATTGTACCCTGATTACGTGAAGACATTTATCTTTTATAACATATATTTGCCCTTTTCCTCAACTTTGAGCAAGTACTGCTTTAACGTTTTAAGACTTTACAGAAGATGGCATCTTTCAGAAGTTTCTTACGCTGGCATTTTGGAGTTGATGATCAACATCCTCGTAGGTAATTAATTTTTACAGCCCTCACCCAACCTTTGCCATCCCCGCACACAATGTTTAACAGGATAGGACATTTTGTACACATGTTTAAATACTTAGTTCTGCTATTGGAGACTTTGAACCTTATCTCATACTTTTTCCAAGAACTACAATTTTGGCTTCTCCAGAGCTTTTCCTTCTAGAAGGAATACAGTTTGGTCATCTAAAAATTCAGTCAGTTTTCATTTCAAAGGTCGTCCTAAATTTTCAGTAAGTTTGCTTTCCCCCCTCTTCAATTTTTGTTTCTAATAGGTTTTCATTTTTTAGCTGATTAAGGCTCAGATTTGGTTTTGTTATCTAAAGAAATCTGTTTGAAAAGTTTTTTTTTTTTTTTTTTTTTTTAAATTAAAAACTTAGCTTAGCACAATTGGGAACCATCCTATTTTTCTATTTTTGAGGGTTGTTTAAATGACAGTTTGGTTTAAAGTTTATTTGTACTGCTCTTTATTTGTATTATTACTTTTAAATTTTGGATTGCATATAGATTTTACACCAGTTTGGTTTTTATGAATGGTAATTTTATATAATGTAAAGTTGTATGGTTTTGAGTAGGCAATTTGACACAATGTTATGTTTTATTGTTTTTTCCAGATGTTTCAAAGGTGTGTAGAGAAAATCCTGGTGTATTTGAGGTTTGTTATCCTGGTACATTTGAGATTCGATTTTTTGGTTTTATATGAATTTTCATGTCTTAAATTTAATTGATTCTTTTTTCGGTTTTTGATCTCAAATGAGCCAGGAGAATGAAACACGTTTTTGAGATACGAAACTTTAGTTCATTATCCCTTAATGAGTTCTGGATTGGAGTTTTAGTAACTAAGCTACTATGTTGTTGTCTTACACAGTGTTGAGACAGCCTTATTCGCTGTTGAATAAGGACTAACATGCCTATTTAGCTACAATAGGCTTAGAAAAGAACCTAGAGTAATCTATATGTTTTAAGCTCTCATTTGGTTTGCTTCAGAACTTACAAGCCACCCCAACAGTACGGCACATCACTGCAACATTACAAACGTGTTGTATTGTGACGACCTCAATGTCGCAGTAACGTGGTAGGAATGGCTTAATGTCCGCTTTTTGTGGACATTCGAATTTACTTCGTAGTATTCGAAATTTTTAAATAATTGAAAATATCCAATATAATCATTTGAAATTTCCTTATCTTACTGAGGTTGTATCTCACCATATTAAGGTTATATAACTGTAATCCATTTATGTTTATTAAATATCTATATGAACTTTTTTTAACAGTTTGGCTTTTAATACTGTTTTCTGATCTCTATTTCTTTTTTCCTTAATTGCTTTCCTTCCAGAAAAAGAGCTAAATTATTTTGATAACTGGATGAAAGAAAAACCGTTTTAGTACTATATTTTATAGGACGCTTACCTATTTTATTAGCTTGTTATATAACGAAATGTTTCGTTTTGAATTAAAAGCTTTTATAAATCAATACAATCATAGACTCCAAATTAGTTAACTACAATCTTCATTTCCAAATTAGCCATTTGTTGCTTAATCTATAATACTGAACAAATAGTTATAGGTACAAAAGTCAGTAGCTGGGAAACGTGGTTATGGAAACTAAATTACAAGGAATAAATATTTATGCTTAAGT